GAGATCAGAGAGGCTTGGGACAGATCTAAAACAGCTTTAAAAGAAAATATGGAATTTATTTGGGAGGCCACCAAGCTTTTGAGTACTATAGAAAAATGATTTAATATACTCTTTTTTTTAGAACCATTTTAAGTTCATAGCAAAATTGAGCTAACGGTACAGAGATTTCCAATATACTTTCTTCCTCCTACATGCACAGCCTCCTCCATTATCAACATCCCCCACCAGAGGGATACATTTGTTACAACGGATAAACCTATATTCATACATTATAATTACCCCAAATCCACAGTTTACATTAAAGTTCATTCTTGGTGGTGTATATTCTATGGGCTTAGGGAAATGAATAATGACATGTATCATCCATCACTACAGTATCATACAGTGTAGTATCACTACCCTAACACAATTATCCTATTATTTTAAATTTTAAAATAAAAACCAGAATAAATGAAGGCCCGTAAAGCTTCTCAATACCAGGAAGACAGTTTTCATGTTAAAGGAAAGCACATAGGGGACTTCTTTCTTCTTTTGTGCATATTTGAAAATTTTCAGGAAAAAAAGGTTTGATTAAAAGGAGGAAAAGCATGTCTTTAATAGGTCACCTACACAAAGATTTAATAGAAATGCTTGCACATTCAGGCTTTAGCTTTCTCTTTAGCCACACTGCCCCTTAGAATACATAGCATTTTCCATCCTGGAGATATGGAGGACGTTGGGAAACCTCTGATGAAGACGAGAAAACTTGCTACAAGAGGCAACTCTGGAGCACCTGGGTGGTTCAGCTGGTTGAGCATCTGACTCTTGATGTTGGCTCAGGTCATGATCTCACTGTTGGGAGACTGAGCCCCACATTGGGTTCGAGACTGAGCCCCACAATGGGTTCTACACTGACAGTGCACAGCCTGCTGGGAGAGAGGGAGAGACAGACAGAGAGAGAGAGAGAGAGAGAGAGAGAGAGAGAGAGAGAGAGTCTTAAAGCAGGCTCCCAGCTTAGCACAGAGCCTGACAGGGGACTCAATCACACGACACTCAGATCATGACCTGAGTGGAAGTCAAGAGTTGGACACTCAACCAACTGAGCCTCTCAGGCACTCCTGTACACTTTAAATACATGAAGTTTATTGTATGGTAAAAAATCTCAGAAAAAAAACTGTAAAGGACATATTTCCCTTCTTCTCCAGTTATTCTTATTTCAGTGGAAGTTCCTTAGCTTTGTATAGCTAAATTCTCTTATTAAATTATCCCTCTTTCTACAAGTCAAGCTTTTAAAAAATCTAACAACAACAAAAAATTCACTTTGAAAAAACAAAATACTAGGTTATAAAATTGAGAACTCTGACCAATCTATACTAACCAATGTTGCCTCAAAAGTTGAATAACTGGAAAACCACAGCAAAGGATGCCAACCACAAACCTAAACCCTAACCTTAACCCTGACCCTAAACCTAACTCTACCCCTAACTAGTAACCCCTAAATTCTACCCTAATCCTAACTGTAACACCAAATCTAACCTCTGGAGAGGTCTCTGAACTGCAGGGTATGAGGCATATACTCCTACCCTAATCCAAACCCTAGCTCTAAACCTAATTCTAACCCAAACCTGAACACTAACCCTAACCCTAACCCTACCTCTAAAGCTATTCCTCTGGAGAGATCTCTGACCTGCAGGATAACAGGCACATAACCTCACCCTGGCCCTAACCCTAACCCTTATTTTAGCCCTAAACTGAACCCTAATCCTAGATCTGAGGGGAAAAAAAGAGTTGGTATATACACACACATACACATCCACAATGGAATAGTATTACTCAGCCATAAAAAAGAATGAAATCCAATGACATGGATGGAACTAGAGAGTATTATTCTAAGTGAAGTAAGTCAGGGAAAGACAGATACCGTAAGATTTCAGTCATATGTGGAATTTAAGAAACAAAACAAATAAGCCAAATGAAAAGAAGGAAGGAAACAGAATTTGTAGTATTTCTGAAAATAGGTGTGTACAGATCAAAACAGTTAAAAGAGAAGAAAACCACAGGAAAGGAACTTGGCACTATTAAAAGTAAATGTACGATTTCCATTGTTTCAATACCAAAACTAGTCATTGATTTCCTCAACTCATCTACCAGTATTATCTCTGAAGTATCCCCAGGGACTTGTCAATGTGTTTTCTAATCTAAAATTGTCCTCTTATATAAGTCTTAAACAAACTTACTAAAAGTACTTCACCAGAACATACCCTAAAGTAATTTTATCCCCAAAATGATCACCTTATTCTGTATTGACAATCACATGCAGCTCAAACTGGTTTTTGGTTAGAAAGCATGTATGAAATAATAATTACCAGAAAAAATATGCAATAATTAACTATTAGGACACTGAAAGTTAAGAATATTTTATATGAATAAACAACTAGCATAAACTTCCTTTGAAAAAAAATTTTTTTAATATTTATTATTTATTTTTGAGAGAAGGAGAGAGAGAGCGTGAGCAGGGGAGGGGCAGAGAGAGAGGGAGACACAGAATCCAAAGCAGGCTCCAGGCTCTGAGCTGTCAGCACAGAGGACAACGCGGGGCTCAAACTCATGGACTGTGAGATCATGACCTGAGTCGAAGTCAGATGCTTTAACCAACTGGGCCACCCAGGCATCCCTAGCATACTTCTTCAATATCATCCATGTAGGCAATGAAAAACAATGGGCAATTCGGATCTCTTAGCTTCGATGAGAAAGATTAAGTTCACATCCCAATGCCTTTGATCAAAAAGTGATCTTGGGGCGCCTGGGTGGCGCAGTCGGTTAAGCGTCCGACTTCAGCCAGGTCACGATCTCGCGGTCCGTGAGTTTGAGCCCCGCGTCAGGCTCTGGGCTGATGGCTCAGAGCCTGGAGCCTGTTTCCGATTCTGTGTCTCCCTCTCTCTCTGCCCCTCCCCCGTTCATGCTCTGTCTCTCTCTGTCCCAAAAATAAATAAACGTTGAAAAAAAAAATTAAAAAAAAAAAGTGATCTTGTCCTTGGGACGCCTAGGTCGCTCAGTTGGTTAGGCGTCTGACTTTGGCTGAGGTCATGATCTTGCGGTTTGTGAGGTGAGTTCCGCATTGGGCTCTGTGCTGACAGCTCAGAGCCTGGAGCCTGCTTTGGATTCTGTTGTCTCCCTCTTTCTCTCTGCCCCTCCCCGGCTTGTGCTCTGTCTCACTCTCTCTCTCAAAAATAAATAAACATTAAAAAAAAAAAAAAAGAAGAAGTGATCTTGTCCAAACTGGGAAGATCACCTCTGCATTGCTGACTCTGCAGATTAGATAGGTAAATAGGAGCAGAACAGAAGCCTACCTGGTCAGATCAGCAAATAAATTCCCATGACCTACACATCAAGAAGGGGTAGACATAAAATCTGAATCTTGATAGGACTTGAAACATAGACCAGCAAAACATTTTACAAAAGGGACTTACTGTACTTTTACTATTAGGAGGATAAAGACACTGGAACATCTGGAGTGATGAGTGAATGACTAATGTAGAAAGCTTAATGACCATTTAAATATATATATATGAAATACACACATGTATTTTGATTTACAAAATGCTTTGAATTAACAAGCTTTCCTAACACAAGGTCTCCAGATTACTCATTTCCTAGGAATTTAAGTGAGGACTAGCTCATTTGTCTTCATTCTATTAAAATCAAGGTACTACATTCGAAATGAGGCCTCCTAAATCTCTACACTGATTTAGCTGTGTGACCATGGGCAAATTACAGATTCCCTCTGGGCTAAAAGTGTGTGATTCTAAGATGTAGAGAAATCAAGAGCTTGAGTCTCACAAGATCTATGACTCCCACAGCAAGACCAAATAAGGTTTCCCATAATCTATATTTCCTTCCAGTGCCTCTCTTGATAACCATAATTTTGTAATTATTTTTTAAATGACCACAGCAGATTACACAAAATACTTGACCCTCTAAAATCTGTTCAAGTCTTCAAGAATATAATCTGTCCTCATTGAGCCTCTAGAATATGGTAAGCAGCCATTAGTGACTGCTCTTCCCCTATGCTTTTAACGATAATGGTAAAATTTTTTTACATACCCATAGGTGAAAATAATTGCCAAGTAACTTTTAGTCCTAAATACACATTAAATACTTGTAACCATTTATTCCTAAATACACTTAAAATGTCATCCTAAAACTGAATGTGCATGGTAGTCTATTATGGGATTGCTTGATGTTTTGGCACCTAAACCTTTTCACTATTAGTCATTTATTTCAAGCTACCACTAATTTACTTTTCCAAAAAGGTCTTAATCCATAGCAGTAAGGGATAGATTCCTTCAAAATTAAAGAGACACTGGGTCTTATGAATCAAAATAATTTTTTCATTATTATTAAAGATTAAAAAGTGGAAAATAATATTTAGATATTTTGTATTTTAAAAATTATGTTATGACATTAAGTAGAAAACCAGAAAGAACCATGAGAACGTGTAGGAAAATACAGCAGAAATACCCCAAAATGCTGAGAGGTTGTCCTTGACGGTGAAGACTATCAGTGGATTTTAGTTCTTTTATATATATCCATTTTTATAACAGGGAAAAAAAAATCTAAATAAATAGTTGACTTATAAAACGTGTAGGGTATCCCTCCACTAAAGTCACAAAGATTATAACACCAGAGAAGAAGACACTGACATAGGAACGAAGAGTTTTGTGAACATTCTAACAGATATACAGTTAAATATTACAGAACACTCCACAAAGAGGAGAACCTTATCTGATAATCATAAAAAACCTACAACAGCAAAGAACGGCACGTCATTTCGGCTCACGTCCCTCACAATTGGAACGTGGCTCAAATAAATCCCACTAATTATAGAACCTCAAACACTCAATCCCAACTACTCCAACACTCTGGCAGGCCGCCCCCCACCCCCCCTCGCCGCCGCCGCCCAAGTGTACACTCTCTGGATTGAAAGAATGGACTTAATTGTCCCTCTTCAAGAATCTTACTCATAATCACTACTGGTTGAGGAATATGAACCCGAGTCGTTGACCCGATCTTCATAATCGCAATCCTCATCTTCTTGTGAAGAATGGTCTCCAGGGAGCTCATCTGGGCTCTGACGGGAACCATACGAAACCGGAGACGCCATCATCAAGGATGCAGTAGTTACTAGTAGTGTTAATTCAAATCTCGCAGCAACGGCTCGCCGTAGCCGCCATGTTGTCTCCGCTAGGGAAAGGGCAAAGGCCACGTGACCGCCAATCCTTGGCTGCAATTGGTGGCAGCTTGAGTTGCCAGGGAGACGAGGAAGCTTTCCCGAGAGAGAGAGAGAGAGAGAGAGAGAGAGAGAGAGCGCGCGCGCGCGCGCTACTGAAAGAAGCCAACGAGGTGAAACTTCCAGGAGTGCGTCTCAGTTGGAGGAATATAAGTAGTTAAAAACTTCACCACTTAGAGTCTCCTAAACGCACTCCTTTAGAGTACTATAGTTTATTAACAGCGGAGACCCATTTTTTTCTTCCCTTTTTCTAGTTTGCACTTTGCCCTATGTTTCTAAGCCGAACAGCTGCCCAAAGCCTTAGAGGCACTCAGCTTGGGGTTCCCATGAAGTAAAGGAAACTCCTCCGTACCTTTCCCCAGGGCCTCTGCATCTGTGCTGGGAAGGGAAGCTTTTAAGCAAAGTCCACTAGGTGTAAATGTAAATACGCTCCAATGTTTCTTTGGTTTTCTTACTGTTTCACAGTTGCAAACATTTGTATAGTTTTCCCTAGCAAATGTTGTAAATTGCTTAAAATAAGAGGCAATGTGAAATCAACCGCACGTTCATTTTGTAATTTTATAATTTGATTAAGTATTATCACTGAAATTGGAAATGTAAACTGGTAAATTTTATCGGTAATTTACGAATACCTACAAGTATTTTTTTCTAAGTACAAAATAATAGCTAGCCTTTATTGAGAGTCAGCCATTTCTCAAATTACTTGTTCTATTGATATACTATACTACGTATTCACATACTATGAAGTAAAGATCCTTATACTAAAATAAGGAAACTGAAGCTTGGGTTATTCATCTTAATGGTCACATGGCTAGAAGGCAGCCAAGCCACACAAAAATTGAACCTGTCATTAACTACTTGATTATATTTCATCCTCAGGATCTAGTAATTCAACTATTACAGATCTATTCTAAGAAAATAAAGGTTGTAAAAACAATTATAAAGTTTGTGAAAGTGGAAAGCTGAAAGCAATCTAAATATTCAACCATAGGGGAAAAGTTAAATAATACACTTTTCTATATGAAATATAAATATTATGATAGAAGTATTTTCAAAGAATAATGCAAGGGGGAATATTCATGTTATAACAAGTTAAAGGATATAATATTTTATGATCTCAATGGATGAGTGCTGGAGATTCAACTTAAATTACATTAATTCTAAATGTGTTTTTTCATAGTTGTATACCAGCTATTGAATATTGTTTTGTCTTAATTTGAATCAATTTATAAAATTGTTTTTATCTTATATGAGAGCTATAGAGCATAGAGCTTATAACTGTTTATTTACATTATAATTTTAAAAAGTTTAATTCATTCCTGGAAGTCCACAACAGATTTTTCTTTTTTCCTTAAAAGAGGTCTATCTATCATTCAGACTGGAGCACAGGGGACTAGTTCATAACAGGATAATGGGGCAAAAGAGGTCCTTGAGGTAGCAGGAGAATCTGGTGTCTACCAGACAGATGGAAGGACATGACCTTGCTGACATGTCTTCTTTAAAACTGGATCCTAAATGAAGGTGCAAGTGTGGATGCTGATTTGCCAGTTTTAGTCAAGAAGTTGAGACACTCTCCATACATAATGGTGTTTATTTTCTCAGGTAAGTAGAAGGTAACCTTGCCAGGTGAAAACGAAGGAGGGCAATGGAGTTAGAAGTTTGAAGAGAATGGATCCCCAAAGGAAGGGAAACAAATATTTCCATCAGCACGAGGTCCAAAAATGTAGTTACTTTTAAAATCAGAGAAACAATATTATTTTTTAAAAAGATGTAATCAATATAATAGTTATACTTGTTTCATGCTAAAATATACATACTTATTCTCACCACAATCTCCAGTGATAAAAATGTTAATATTTTAAAAGCATCTTATTGGAAGTAAAAAAAAAAAAAAGACATTCTAAATATTAACAAAAAAACCCACATTTCTGCATATAAATGACACTCTTTTTTTTCTCTATAAACAGCTAATGATTTCATGCGCAGCTCAAAAACCTTCAACGCCACCCCATTAGAGAATAAATTCCAAACTAGGTAGTCTCTTAAAAAAAAAAAAAAGATTCCAATTCTACAAACAATTGAGCACCAATTAGGAATTAGATGCTTTATTTCCTGCATTAATCAAGTTAATCAAGTGTGCCCAACTTGCCAGATCAAAAGAACCCCTGGGGTTCTTGTTAAACATAGAGGTTTTAAGAACTGTCCCACCTCAAAAGGATCAGAATCTCCAGGGAAGTTGCCCTAGAAATCTCTGTTTTAAAAAAATGCTCTCACCCCTCAATGATCCCTAGATTAAGGTAAACTTGGGAAACACTGCCCCAAGCCTCCCCTCAGTTCTAATTCTTCATATCTGCAGGCCCACTGACCGTTTCCACAATAGGCTAGAAACCACTCCCACCTCCTGATTTTGAGCCTGGCAGACAGAGCAAATCAACCTCTCCAAGCTTCACTTTCTTTACTGGTAAATTCAGATATTGATATGTACTTCATAGGACTGTTTGGAGGTCTAATAAGTCAATGTAGGTAAGATACCTAGCACATAAAGTATCAATAAAACTTAAAACTATTTTATGGATCATTTATTTTACTCATGCAGTTCTCTCATTGTGAAATGCTACATTTTCCTTCAAGACCCAATTCTAATAGTACCTTTTTCAAGAAGATTTCTCACACTCTTTTCCTATCTCAGTGACAATTCTTCTTTCCACCTTCCCCTCATATCTAATAAAGTTTTATAACGAGTATGTCTGCCTAATGTCTAAATTATTTAGGAATCTTTGCTACCAAATGACAAATTCCTGGAAGTTATAACTGGGTCTTTTTTGTTGTTGTTTTCAATCTTTCATCTTACATAAGATTGAACAAGAGCAAGAGGTGCCACATAAAAGTATCTTTTACGAAATCTTCACACTAGATATGTCTCTGAGTTAACTTCCTTGGCTAGTCTACTTCCATATGTTAGATTAAAAGACAAAATCTGCACCCCCAGAAGGATATCACTTTCCTGATCTTTCACAAAAGAAAAAATAAGAGCAATCATTTTATATTCTTATTTAAATCTTCAGGGTGTGAAGCTTATCAGATTTCTAACTTTATATGTCATATTTGTACTAAATTAATATTTAACAACCTTAGATATACTAGAGAGGATGAAGAATGGAAAAGATTAACTTGCTATTTTCAGGGCCTTTTAAAAAATACTGACTTTGTTTTATACTTAGCAATTGCTGGTGACTTACGAGAGACTGGGGTATATTCTCAATTTTTATTTTCCATTACACAGATGGCCAGCCATCTCTGAGAACTAAGTATGTTTAGTTTAATATATATATATGACATAAAGTCCTTATTTTCATATTTTACTCCCTCAATTAGGCAAACAACACAACTCTGACATAAAATACACCAGATAAGAACATAATTAAATATTTAGTATTTTTGGCAGGTTCAAGAGTTCTTTGCCTGGTGGTAACGGAAGCTAGCAATGAGAAGTAAATGAAAACAGGGCCACATGAGGTCATGTCCATTAAAAAATTTTAAACTGCAAGGTAAAAATTTACAGAACTTAGCATTGTTAGAAACTAATACCATCTTAACTATGAACGTCGAAATAATTCATGAGAGGTGTGGTAATCCTGACAACCCCAATCATTTAAAAAATGATGAATAATAATTTGGTAGACCAGCAAAACAGCATTTTAAAAACTGAGGCATCATAATGTAGGATTTTTAAAATTTGAGATAGTCATAAATGAATAACATTTCAGCAATCCAATGTTTATAGAATTGGATTATGATCTAAGATTCTAATTTTCCTTTATAAAAATTGAATTGCCTGTTAAAATGTTTAGAACTTGTTCCATAGAAATCATGCATTATCTATTTGAATAATAATGAAATACAGATGAGAACACAGAGGTAAACATAAAAGCAACTGAGGTAGATGGCACAAAGCTCAACCCCAAACCCTTCATTTACTCCTAGTTATTCTCATTTTATACTTTCATTTACAAATTGTAAAAAGTTGATGAAATGTTCTACCGCCATAGATCAGTAGCTGCCAACCAGAAGGAAGGGAGGCCTCCTTAAAACGGGAATACAATAGCAGCAGAAATTGTTGATGGCTGACAATCTGCCAATGAAGAGCAGTCAGAAACAAAAAGCAGACACAAGAATTACAAAAAACCAACTCCCCCCCCAAACTCATAGCGTATAAATGAGTGCCAAGTGCCCTCAATAGCATCTAAAATAAAAAAAAGAAGAAAGAAACAAAATTACTGCATTGTCGAACCCTACAGTAATTTGATAAGACCGTGAAAATGCTTGATATTCCCTAAGTGCCATGCATCCTCCAGTCAGAGAATCCACATTCTCATCCTGATTTTGGCACTAATAACCAAGTGAATATGGACAAAGTCAGTTTCATCTTCTGAAAACTACAATAATAATCCCCGTGTACTGTACAGGGTTGCTAAGAACCAAATGTCCTTGGAATCTAATGTCCCACACTTTAAGAAATAGAGGAGTGTGTGTTATATGCTATATTTAAATGTTTTTGATTTTGGGGCACCTGGGTGGCTCAGTTGGTTAAGCATCTGACTCCTGATTTCAGCTAAGGTCACAATCTCGAGGTGTTCGTGGGATCAAGCCCTGTGTTGGGCTCTGTGCTGACAGTTAGGAGCCTGCTTGGGATTCTCTCTCCCTCTTTCTCTGCCCCTCCTCCTGCCTCATGTGTGCCACTGTCTCTCTCTCAGTAAACTTAAAACAAAATAATAAAATGTTTTTTCTTTCAGTATTTTTTTTTAGTTTTTACTTTTTGAACTTATTAAAGGATATTTTATTCATCAGGACTATTATCTAATGGGGCACATCTTTACCCCTGAGGCTTCTGGATATTTGAGATATTTTAAATATGCTATTTTGCTGTTGGCAAAAGTATGAAATTTAGGTTATCAAACATTTTCAGAGACTCACCTCTTGCTCATTTTCTTTGCTGGCTTAGATGTTAGAACACACTAG